AAGGAAGGAAGGAAGGAAGGAAGGAAGGAAGGAAGGAAGGAAGGAAGGAAGGAAGGAAGGAAGGAAGTTGGAGACTCCAAATTCAGACTCTGGAGTGTAAAACATGCAACATATGGCCAGGCTGGCAGAAGAGCCTGATAGTGGCCACAAAAACAGACTGCAGTGCAGTGTCAGCAGGAGCACCATGCCAAGTGCTGCTCCCACTGCCAAATCCCAAAAAGTCCCCATTATACACTGCCTACAGCCCCAGACCAAAACAAAGGGTTCCTGGAGATCCCAGCCATAAGGGGGTGCAGGAAAAGGCTTAGCTCTAAAGCTCCCTTGGACTGCCATCAATATTTTCCATTTAAAAAGCCAAGAAATTGCCCTGATGGCAGTGATCCTTGTCAGCTGAACTCCCCTCCTACTATCAGACTCATGAAGGAATCAGAGGGAGATCTGTGGTAATTAAAAATGAAGGAGATCAAATTAGTAAAGCACATTCCCAGCTGTCAGGAGTGATTCAGAGGTCTGGATTCTGCTGAAGGAGGCTCTCTGTCTGCCACCCCCACCTCCATGTAGGTACCCAACCTCCAGACCAGTATTGGGAAGATGCCCAAAGGGGACATCTTAAATGGGAAGCAGAGGAGAGCCAGAGTAGCTCTAGGAGTAATAAATATTACTTTTTCCCTAGCCAAAATCTTTCTGGACTTTTAATGCAACTCTTCACAGGAACCCTTGCAATCATGATGTGGCAGCATCAAAAATGTGACTCAGCTCTGAACAAACAGAAACCTGAGAAAGGTGTCCAAGCAGTGTGGTGTGGCCATGCCATGGCCTGACCACTGAGGTACCACACCATGCTGAATGGGAAAACACAGGCTGCAGGGTCTGAAAGTGGTGATGGCTGCAGCCCCATAAAGCAAAGAGAGCAGAAGGAAACAGAGGGGAGTAAAATACAGAACAGGGCTTGTTGTCCCAGTGCTTGGCAACTGCAGAGCTGCTACTGCAGCTTCCCTCTCATATTTGGGTCACTGCATAGCAGGACCTCCTACAGCACCACAAAAATCTCTCATGTGAGCCTCCTTCTTCCTTCCCAGCTACCTCCTACATGGGAGAGATATGGAGGGCAGGAGGGTGGCAGGAGGGGAAGGTGGATCATTGAGCTGTTCTGTGCTCATGGAAAGAAAAAAGCGTAAAAATCCTTCTTCTAGTAACCAGGTCATAAAGCAGTCAAAATATGACAGCCCTTTCTCCTGTGCATCTCATGACTATTTCTCAGAGGACACTGTCTTCTCTGCAGGTAAGCTTTGCTGATTAAGTTTCTGAAGACTCAAAAACAGGGTAGAATCCTGGCAGGTTTCAGAGCCTACAGCAGTTTCAGGAAATGTTGAGGCTGTGCTCAGCAGGACACTGTCAGCTGTGATTTGCAGGTCACTGTGTGCTTCAAAATGCAGCAGAGCACAGAGATATCCAGCCTGATTTTAAATGGTTTCATTCAAATGAAAAGCAGTAAAACACAACATCCTGAAAACGAGCACATCTCAAGACACAAACTGAGCTCTGGTGCCACAGTTCAATTGCTCCAGATATGTGAAGCACCTGAGCTAACACATTTTTAGCAATTTTAAGTGTCTTTCCTCTCCACTGGAGGCCACAGTCTAGACATATTTACAGAGCAGGAGACATTTAACATATTGTTATACCATCTTTCAAATTTCTGGTTTAGGTACAGTTTAAAGAGAACGACTGCTGAGCATTTGGAAGAGGGAGAGGTTGGCACAGTATTCTCAGGATTCAAAATTAATGACAGCCTGCACATCACTTCTCTTTCCAGGGATCAGAAAAGATCAGTGGCAGACATTCTCAAGCAGCAGCATTTCTGAGTAGATGAAAACAACTGCAAACATTGTGAAGTCAGCAGTGATGGCAGATGTGTTCCAAAAAAACTCACTTTCTCATACAGCTTCCCCCATACCCCTGTGTCCACTGAGGGCTCTACCCACCTCAAGGAGACAAGAAAAAAAAGCCCTCAGAGTTCATGCTGCTTTGCAACTGCAACTGCTATACAAATGCAACCCTCTCTTAAAGGCAGTTTGCCACAGGGTATCTCAGGACTAATAGATGCTGAACAAGAAATCTGAAGATAACAGAAGTTTCCTCTGGAAGGAGGAAATTGGAAACTGGAAATTGTCCTACCCAGAGTGATTTTACTGTAGGCCCTGATTCTGCAAGTTGAAGGACCAAAGAGAGACCCAAGGGGACTCCAGGATTCTACCAAATGCCAAAATGAGCCCCAGTTCACAGGTCCTGGCAAAGGGTAGGACCTGAGAGATATAGGAGAATCTGAACAAATTTGTAGAATGTCCAGAAATGTCACCTCAGAGGATATGGCATAGTTCTGGCATTTCTTGATAGACCTTGGAATAAAACAGCCCTAGGCCTGAGAGAGAAGGAAAGCATATCTCAAAGAGCCATTAATGTGAGCTGTGTGCAACCCCTGGCCAAGCCTGCAGCACAAATCTCACTCTGCACACAATCCACTAAGACCACAAGTTGTAGAAGCCTCAGATACAGAGCCTTTTGTTTTCCTTAGGCTGAAGAAATTCATGCTTTTAGTGTAAGATGTCCTTGGTACAGCTGCTCTATTGTCAGATGAGACAGAAGCCACCAGCTTAGAGAATGTGACAAGACAGTAAGGAGATATCTGTCAGCATTTTCAACACAACTCATCATCAACAACAGACCCCTATGTGCAAACTCTAGAGATTTGTAGGGCAGTCACTTTTCAAAAGCTGCCTCTCCCAGTTTATCCCACCCACTGGAGAATGGACTGTCAGCCAAACTCTACACTGGTTAAAATATTTTACAGTAAAAACTATGTTAACCAAGCTGAACGTGAAAGGTGCTCCCTACCCATTCCTACACTAACTGCTGTTGACAGATTCATATTTTCAGGCTGAAAGATTGGTTGTTCTTTAAGCAAAAGGTGAAAGACTAAGAGATGAGAAAGCCTAAAATTACTTTTGCCATCAGAACATGGCCAGACAGCCCCTGAAGCCAGTTAATTTACTACAGACAGAAAAAAAAAAAAAAAAAAGATATAACTCCAAGAGCCCAGGGAGAGGAGACCTGAGGAGTTCAGTAAAAAAGTCAAATATCTGATTGCTTCTCAAACCAGCTGAACTGCCATGGGATTTAACAGCAACACTACAAGAAGGAGATGAATTTTCCAGTGTATCTAACAGAATCCTGTCTTTTAGTGTATAATATCAGAGCCCATCTACTGGGAAAAGTTTTCACCTTGTCTAGCAGGGGCCAGATATTGAGAAGCCAGATTCATCTATTGTTATAAACCAGCCAAAGTCTCATTGGAATTGATTTAAGACCAGAAACAGGCACAAACAATAGAAGATGAAGAGGGAAGTGAACCATTTGTCGAAATCTGTAGCAGAAAGTTGAAGACAGTGTAATGTTGCTGGAATTAAACCATTTTTCACAAGATTTAAGAAGAAATAATATATGTCAGAAAAAAATGTGTTATACCTATGTCCTCCAGGGCAGTACACCAAAAGTGGTTGTGCAGCAGAAGACATAAAACTATCTGCTCCTTTATAGTGCAGGCAGCAAAAAGTGATAGGCTTGAAGTATAACAAGAGAGATTCAACAGCAGAAAAATCTTTAACAGGAGGGAAAATGATAAGAACTAAATATATGAGCAAATATCTGGAGAGCTTCTGGGCTCTTCATCACAGGAGGCACCTGAAAAGAGTCCAGCCAAACACCAACCATGAATGACAGTCATTTCCACTACAGCTATTTGGGCTGGAGGATGAATTATGGGATTACCTGAGGTGCTTCTCAGGTCATATTTCTGTAATTGAAAAAGCTCATCCTAAGGATATACAGAGATTCCACATTTAAAACCTCAGAAACTAAATCCAAATACCAGGAATGACACATTCTCAAATGATTCTGCAAGCAGTCAGAAACCTTCCAGTGATCAACACTCTACAGAAAACATTTATGTACCTCACACTGGAACATAAAGAAATGAAAATAAACCTTTACAGGGGGAGAGTCAGAAGTGAGTAAATCTGACAGCTGGTGCAATAGAACTGAAAAGACATTGCCATTGTTCATCCTGTTTGTCAGATACAATAATTTATACCCCCTGGTATAAATTACTGCTAGGAGCTTTTGTGGAGAGAATTGCTAGAGCAAGGAAGTGTGATGGGAAAGAGCATTCAGACTGGGAAGCTACAAAACAGTGAGGGATGTGTTTGCAGAGCAGCAGTTCGTTTATATCCCCAGATGCAAAGAAATGTTTCAACATTAAAAAAAAATGCAGAACCAAGTGATATGAAAACACTCCAAGTTGTTAAAAAACAAAGGCATAAATAAATAAAATGCAGGAGCTTCATCATAAAAATAACTCAGGCAAATAAGACATTTACCATTCCTTATGCATTCAGCTTATGAATTAGCCAAATAATGAAAGTAATTAGAATGTGGACACTGTGCAAATATAATTTTGCTAAATGCTGGTCACCATTTAGGCCAATCCAGCTATAAATGAACTGGAGAGCAGCTGAAGACAAGCAATCACATCACTTCAGGGGGTGCTGTCATAGATGTGCCTTGTCTGTGAATCAGCATAAAAGGGTACCAGTAGCAGACAGTGACTTCCAGGGATACACTGCAAAGACAATCCCTGCTCCACATCCCCAGGAGGCAGAAAAGTTGGGTTGGAGGGGAAGGACAACTCAGGGAAACTCAGGACATCAGTGACAGACCCAGGAAGCCCTAGAAATATAAGTAGCACAAAAAGGCAGTAAGAGCCTGTAAAATGAGAAGTCACCACGTACTGCATTCCTTCCCTCTCACGGGGTCAGGTAGTCCAGAGCACTCCACTGACGGATTCGGGACAGCCACCCTCCATCTGGAGCCACTGCTGTCACACTCTGTGTACTCGAAGTGGTAATCTGTCTGCAAGCAATTACAAAGAGTTTCAGTTTCATCATAACATTTGCATATTAAGCTCATTAATCAAGACTGGGATTAGCAAGCTCAGTTGTAATTAGACCAGAGAGGAAGTAGCTGGCGTGGAACATACTGTGCAGCTTTGATGAGTGCCGTGTGTCATCACAGAGCAAGCACAGCTCTCATCAGATGCTGTGCAGCACAAATGCTAGGGCAGAAGGTGGGATTTGCAGAAGCATTTGATAGACAGGATGCAGATTCCACTAGATTTTTTTTCCCAGTCTCTTAGAGCAGGACTGATCTCAAATTTCTGTCCATCACAGTATCTGATCTACAACAGCCAACGAGGCTTCCTCTTTGGTCAGTGGAGCAAGCCATACACAGAGCACGAGTCATCCCATGACAGGCTGGATGTGTAAGATGGATGGAATGATTCCTTCTGCAAGTGCCTTTCCCTCTTTGTCAGCTTCAGAGGGATCCCAGGCAAATTAGGGCAGATAAACCTGATATTGGGATACCTCTGAAAATGTCATCCAGCATCAGCTCTGAGGAATAACTCAAGGCAGAATGATGGTGTGGCATTAGCTAGGAAAGAATATTAGCTATTTGTTTTTTTAATGGTATTGATTCAGATCCCATATAAAAATCTAGACTCCCATTTAATTACATTTTTAGTTTTGTGTTTATAGCTCTGTTTTCAAATTCATAGCCCAGAAGTTTATGATTAAAACAAACCTCAGTAACATCTCATTTTTCAACCAGTATGGGCGGAGCTGGCAGAAATGGAGAATAACCTTCTTCAGAGGAAACAGACCCATGTTCAAATGACATGCCCTGGCAAGCTCCATAAAATGGTTCCATATGGGCAAAGCCACCTCCAGCTCCCTCTGCAGTTAATCAAGGTAAAACATTGGTCATGTGCCTGCTTTAATCACCTGTTGCAGAGGGGACAAAGAAATAACACATCCTAAAAACACTTCTTTCTCCCCACTGGCTACAGAGGGAAACTAGCCACTTAATTTGGATGGAGTCATCTCCATTTTCTCAGGGGAATCCCACCTCCAACACTGCACATCCCTTCCTGGCCCATAAAAGTACCACCAAAAAGCATGGCACCAAGGAAAATTTAGCCACTGGCTCAATGTTTGGGAAGCTTTGGGGCAGCCTGGTGTGGTGATCCATAAAGTCTGGAGGGCTCCTTTCAGTTTACCTGTCTTCTCCAGGCAGGACTGGCCATGCAGCAAGGAGGGAAGGCAGTGCCTGTGTCTGCAGCCCAAGGCACAAGCACAAAAGTTCTTCAGCTGGTGCAGCTCACTCTCACTACAGCAAACCCCACCCAAGGGGCAGCAGAAATTTGCCTTCCTGCCATGACTGGAGACATCAGGACCCAATTCTGCTGCCCTAGGAGGAGCTACTCTGTGCACACAGGGATTATTCTGGGGGAATCTTCTCCTGTTCCTTCCCTTGCAGCTGACATTGTGCATGATGGAGCAGAAGAAGGGGGATCAGATGGTAAGAGTTAATCGATGCTGGCTCTGATATAGATTAGTTAATTCCTGCAAATATTCAGCTGACTCACATGGAGAAGACCTGCAATTCTCCTCATTTACTTGCAGAAAAACAAACAATACTGAGTTTAATACTTCTCCTACTATTACCATAGCTCTCCAGAGATATTCAGATGTTAATAAAGTTCTACCTAAACATCATTAAAGCCCTTGCTATTTTGCATTCAGGTGCAAATAATAATCTGATTTCTCTAGAATTAATATTTTCATGGCTGAATAATTATCTTTCTGGCTCAATGAATGGTTTAGAAACCAAACTCACAGCACAGTGGAAAGGAAAACTATTTGTCTCAAAAAAACCAAACCAGATCAACACATGAAATGTAATATAACACACTGCCAACTCTACAAATATACTCAATTATAATATGTATTTTCCCTCTTTCATCTCATTATGCAATCTTTCAGGCATACTTTAAAAAAATAGCCCTGAATCACCTTAGTATGAAATCTGCCTATAAGGCAACCAGAATACACAAATGTAAAAGGTTCATCTCCTAGTTCATATGATATAAGAAAAAAAATTATCTATTAAATTAAATATGCAAGACTGGAGTGAAGCAAAGAAAAGGATATTGAAGTGCTCTGACTCTGACTTACTTTCAAATCCATTTTCTATTTAATATCAGATTTTAAAAAACTACAGAGAGCAGTTTGATGTCAACAATCCAGGTTGCTCTCATAGCCATTCTCTCAAAGCATACTTCACTTGAGCCAACAATGTAGTCCCTCTGCAGCCAAAGCAGGTCCCAAAAGGGGCAGCTGCGAGGGACACATCATGCAGTGCAGAAACATCCCCTCTAATGGCTGGATAACTGTCAGCTATCAACAGGGATTCAAAATTCAGGACACTAACAAAAATTATAAAGAATAAAAGGCTTCTGCTCTCCTTCCATGTTCAGGCAGATGAGTCAAGTTTCCATCCCTCCATGGAAACCTCTCCTGAGGTTTAAGCAGTCAGGTGAGGTTTCTGGAGACGGACCCAGCACATGTCATCCCCTCTGATCGCCCCATCCCTGTGTGCAGCTGTGTGCACAGAGGAGTCACAAGACTCACAAACTCTGTACAACAACAAGAGTTCTGTGTGGTCTCTCTCCATTACTTTTCCCTGTGCTACGCTCAGTTGCCTTGAGGAAGAATGGTTGGGGTGGGGTTTTTTGTTCATTTGTTTTCCATCTGACTTTCAACTCAGCTTGATGTCTGAAAACACCTCTAAGGACATGGCTGTTTATCTGGTAAGTGACTGTACCAAAGACACTTCAGATTAACTTTTGCCTTTGGTCACACACACATGCATAGCTCCAAAAATCTCTGCCAGCTACCAGTGCTACCCCCTTAGAATCAGAGAAACACAGAATCACAGAATGGTTGCAACACTAAAGATCATCCCTGCAAAGAATCTGCAAAAAGCAATTGCCCAGAGACACTGTAAATACCTCATCCATGGAAGTGTTTGAGGCCAGGTTGGATGAGGCTTTGAACAACCTGGGATAGTGGAAGATGTCCCTGCCCATGGCACAGGGTTTGGCATGAGATCTTTAAGGTCCCTTCCCAACATAAACCATCATGTGATTCAATGATTCTATGAAACAAACACTGAGGCTCCAGCTGTATCCATCTTTTACAACCAGAATACATCTGTGCTGCATCACAGGCAAGGCAGCAGCTCACAACTTCAGCTTTAAATTAACCACCATGGCTACTTAAGGTGGCTGAATGTAACTGCAGGAACCTGTGGTTCAGCTATGTGATCCAGCCCCTCAAACTGGGGTAGCAGCCATGGTGATGTCCTCAGCCCCCAGCACAGCCCAGGTCCATCCCTATGAGGTGGAAGCACATCCTGGCTGCAGCACCCACAGCTTCCATCACACACAATGTTTGCAGGTGATGGAAATTGCCCATTAATGCCCATTAATTGCCCATTAATGCTGCTTACCAGGCTCAGCTCTTCTAATCTGCCTCAGGAATTTGAACTTCCAAATATAGAAGGCTGACCATGGAGCCACCTCAGCACCATGGGACACATACAACACCTTTGCTTCTCATGGAAAAATGCCATTATGCTGGGATTTCCTCACAGAATCATAGAATGGCTTATATTGAAAGGAACATCAAAGATTGTCTGTTTCCAAACCCATGATAGAAAAATTTCTTCACCCACCAGTCTCTGAAGTGAATTTCAGGGCAATCCATTGCCAGATGTTATCTGTTGCCAGCTACTACTCTGGCTTTGCTTTCAATGTTTTTTTCCCACTACCATCCACTCATACAGTATCTTTACATTTGGCCACAGGCCTGTTTTAATTTTAACTGTAATTCTGACTCTGTTTTATTACTTTTCTGCACTTGGCCTTCATCTTCTAAATATGTCCCTCCCCCAGTTCAGCTATAATTTCCTATAGCATTTCCTATTTTATTGATCATATTTCCTAGGGTTTGGCACAACCATTTTGAATTTCAGACCCAAAAAGGAAGCTTCCATCACAAAGTCTCTCTCAGGAAAAAATTAACAACATCCCACATAGGGTTAAACCTGGAAAAAATACAATTTTCTAAATGGAAAATTGATGCCGTTCCAAGAAACTGCTCAGGATCAATGTGCAGTCCTCAGCATTAAATTTCAAATGAAAGGTTAATAGTAACCTGAAAAATGCTACCAAAGATAGGCATCTGAATTTGCTTTACCCTGTGCTGAATTTTGCTTTATTGTTCTTGGAGAATTAGTGAAATCACATCAGCAGTACCATGCAAAGCTGTAATGAGAAACTCTCTGACCTACACACGCTCTCTTTGAAGGACACCCTGCACAAAAAAGAAGCCCTTGTGCATGCACATGACGTCAAAGAGATGGTGCACTGGTCACAGCTCTGCCGGGGGAGGAGAACACCACAGAATTTTTCCAGCATCCTGTGCTCAAAACCCATCACTGTGGGATCGATGGTGTGAGCCTGGCACCCCCTCACATGCTGTGCAAAGCTCCAGCAAAGATGTCCTGGCTCCCCGGGGCACCCACACCTCCTGCCCTGCAGCCCTTCCCCAGCACTTCGTGTCCCACCCTGTGTCCCCTGCAGCTCCACTGCCCCATCTCATACAGTTCTTGTCTTCCCTTTCAGTGGTACCAAGGGCCCCCCTTGCCCAGCTCCCCAGGCCATGTAATGTCAGATGTTTCCAGACCTCTACATCTGAGCTAGATCTCTCACAGTCCTCCACAACAGTTGCTGACACAGGCATTTCCAGGGTACAGATTCTCTGTCTTGAAGTAAATGCCTATTTCAGGGCATTTCTGAAACTCTGCAAGTATTGTTTTCTTCTCCACTGGCTGGAGAGCTTTCTTCCAGACAGCCCCCATAGCAATGAGCTTTCTCAATGATGAAGAGCAACACCTTCTTTAGTGCCTTTCTATTTTTCTGCACCAGTTTCTTCATTCCTACCTTTCAC